ACCATCTAAAGATACACATGACTCTCATGCACTCGTGGGGGCTGCCAAGTGTGATATTAGAATAGTAGAGCAAACAGCATACAGCTTCAAATATATGTATTTAGCGATAAGGAGCAGCTTACTGTACATTATACAGAATGTTATACTGCTAAATAAATAAAATAAAGGACATAATTTGAGTTTATTTATGTAATATTATTAAATATTGGTTGTCTGGGCATTCATTGTAAAAAATGACCTGAGAGCCTTGTAATCAATAATGATATCCAATTGAATCCTCATCTATAATGGAAAAAAACAAACAAATTATCCACCTGGGCTAATGGACACATTGGCATGAATGAATGTGCATCTTTTTTTTTTTGTTGAATACTTTATTTATAGGCATTTCTATCAACAGGGAAAAAATTTAATTAAAAAAATTGCTTGAATGTGCATCTTTATTGTATAAATGACAGGCAGCTGTTTCTGAAAAATGAAAACAGTTTATAGACTAAAAGTGTGATATTATGGCTTGCATCTTGTTTTTGTGGGTGGTCTCAAAAACGGTGTACTTTGAGCCGAGCCACAAAGAGCCCTTAGCGCTGTATTTTACTGGACTAAGTGTTTGGTGAAGCAGAGATTTGTCTCCCTCCATAAAACAGAGAGCTATGCATGCAAATAAGTGAGGAGGAAGCCCAGAATCAAATTACCACGCTTCTGTGCTCAACCCAAACAATTAGAGATTCAGAAAGACAGAGACAGATAGCGAGAGAGAGAAGACAAGACCTGCGGCCAACAGCAGTTGTAAACTGCAGCAACTGACTGTTAAAACTGGTGTGAAGAAAGAGTCAGTATCAAATATGACCATCCTGTTGGTGTCATGCTTATTGTCATTTGGTTGAACATCATGAAAAACTGTCATAATTCACGCCAAACACGTAAGACTAAAAATCAACATAAATAAGAAGTGTTAAACAAGAAAAATAGTGTTCTGCTTAATTTCATGACAAAAAGGGTGTGATTAATCATGATTAAAAATTGTAATCTATTGACAGCTGTTTTAGGCCCACTAAGAGTTTTTTACAGTGTGACATTATTTTCATGACAATTAAACCAAACCTCCTAATTGTCTATAGCGTATTGAAATGCAAAAAAAATCTAATTCGTATTACAGCAGTATGAAAAATATATATTATATAAAAATATATATTATAATAAGTAATAATAATAATTATATAAGTATAAATCACAAAAGTAACATTGGTACTGAATTAAATTCATACTGATTTTACGTAATGATTTTCTTATCAGAAATCAATTTTTTTATTGTATTACAGTAATGAAAAGGATATTTTTCCACAATGTTTTTTATGAGAAAAAGAATTTTGGTGGGGGGGGGGGGGGGGGGGGGGGTTTTGATTTTTATTTTA